ACAGTCCAGTGCGTTCCTGGGACCGTACGTGTCCTGGGACACGTACGCCCAGGATTCCTCCGTATCCTGGGATCCCGCAGGGTCCCAGGAACGTGTCACAGTTCTGAAGTCACGTGGCTAGAATATGCACGTGACCTGTGACCTCTATATGTATCTCGCGTTCCCCTCTCCCCTCTTTCTCCTTTACCTTTAGATTCTAAGAGATAGCCTAATCGATTCCTCGTCTACGTACTTGAGTCCAACCGTGCTGTCACAAATCGTGGATTTAAATTTAATGTTATATATTTAAAAATATTTTCGAAATTTTAAAATAATTAATAATAATTTTTTAGAATAATTAATAATGAAATGTAAGTTTTGCTAAGTCTTGGCTTTAATATTTGCATAATTAATGTAATTATATTATAAAGCGATAATATTAATATTATAGCAAATGCAGCCGAAGATTAGATACTAAGATTATATTTGGCTAAGAATTTTGAGAGAAATTGTATTGTTTAAGTGCTTGAGGGGGAGTGCTTAAGTTAAGAGTATTCGAAATATTTAGCAATAGTAGCCACTCTAAACGTTAAGTTTCCCTCGTATGTAATTGCCTATGGCGACTATTGAGCCGTGGAAGCCCGCCACCTTTGACCAGGCGCCAAGAGTGCTCTCCACTATAAGAGTTCATCTGGTGTGACCTCACCTACATCAATTGTAACGCAATTCTCGCCTGTATCTCTTTGCCTGTCGGAATCTGTAACGGGTGCTAACCTCGGTGAAAATTTGCAAAGTCATTGTTTCTTGTGAAAGCGGGTTGAACCATGTCCCACTGACAAGTAACGTGCCCCGGATAAGCCCACCCATAGCGACAGCCGGGATTTCGTTAGGCGACCTATGTCATCCGTGTCTCCGCTGCGCCGGACATCAAGCCTGCAAGCATCTTGCTGTCATTGAGAGCAAAATCCAGTGGGATTCGACCACCTCGTTATAAAGAGATGTATGATCGCCAGAACTCTCAGCCCAAATGAAGAGTGGTCTAAAAGGTCACTCTAGCACTCTTTCTGTGTACTGCTTTCTGGCCGGAGAGCTTCTGTGTAACTGAAGTCAATCCATTCAGATGTACGTCTGGGATCCACAACACGGATTTCGGTTCACTCCTCTAAAATTTTGCCAATCTTTCTCTCCTGTACTTTTCCTTTGCATATCATCCAAGGTCAGATTTGGACAAATTCATGCATTTGTGCATCGGTATCCTGAAGCTCGACAGTCTCTCTCGGTGCAATTGATCGGTCTGTTTAACGGTTCACTTGGACGTGTGGCGTCTCGGAATGTGCAGTCTGTTCTTGGCGTGGGTTGACTTTGCGTGTTTGTGTCTATTGAGTACCACTCCCCGGGTTCAATCATTGTTGAATTTGGTTCACGAGTCTCTTGTCGAGCTGGCAATATGGTTACCTTGAGATCAGATATCCCGTCATCAATGCACCATTTGTCCAGTGCTCTTGGAATCAAATGTTTCGTTTTAGATCTACGCGACAGCGTCCCCGAGGGCCGGTACAACGACGCTCGTGTTATACTTTCCGCTTATCTCGAACATCTCGTGTTTGGCGTAAGAGTAATCAAAAAATTCCTTTTAGGTAGCTGGAGTTTTAGTTTCAGTTTACACAGCTCAAATAGCGATGAAACATTTAATGGCATTCGCTTATCTCAACTTTCAAGCGTATATGAATAATTTCAAGCATTATTGTGCCATATCAAAGGAAGCATAGCTTAGTGGTACAGCTCACGATTTAAATTGTAAAGTTTGGTGGACCATTTAGTTGGAAAGCGCGGGTAGAGACATTAAGTTTGTGGATCGCTGGTTCAAATCCAGCTGCTTCTAAAATTTTTTTCTCTCTTTTTGTTTCTCTTTGTATCTGTAGTATTAATTAAGCCCAGAGCTAGTTTTGTTTGTTGTTCCTATATAATAGTTGTTTCGTTTTCCTTGTAAAAAAAATTGTCTAGTGAGACCTCGGGTTTTGGTAGATATTGTTAAGACTATCGAATTATATACATCTGCCGAGATTTAAGGTCGGAATTTTATTTGATTGTTGTCATAGATAATAATCCTATTCTCAATCTGGATAGCTTCCGACTTCTTACTCGAAATCTGAGAAACGATTGAATATTCTCGGAGGACCAGCAGCCCTCTCAATAAATGTTAGCTCTGAACACCGCGTTTTAACCACGATGCACAATCAGACAAGATCAGCGAGGCCATTCTTGGACGATCGCTAGGTGAAACATTCTTTCATCTCCATCGGGCCGGGAATGATATATACAAAGGAGCGGACCTTCTGCAGAGGCGCCATCACAGGCCCCATTAGCGGTACTTGACCCAGCTGCTCGAGCAGTCCATCTTCTTCAGGCTCGATCCGGATATAGACGTCAATACTCTGCGTCAATGACAAAGTCATAATCTCCACGTGACATAGAATCCTCTACACTCAAGATCTCGGTAATGGTCGCATGTCCGTCCCGATGTCATTTAACCCGAGTTGTAAAAAAGTCGTAACTAAATTGCAAGACTAAGCTGCGGGAAAGTTGACACTGTGCGCTTTTCGTTAAGCTGCTGATGTTGACTTTCTCTCTCCAGCATCGGTAACCCCTCTTCTCACGTCTTTGCTTCGTCGCCTGCCTTTTCCTGACTAGACTCCCAAGTAAATCTTTCGTCGTTCAAGCTCTACAGTGTCACTTCCAAGTAATCCTCTTGTTGTTCAACCTTTACATTGTTTTTCTTTTTCAGAGCAGCAGAACTTCAAAGAAACGCACTGCCAGTATCTGCTCTTTATTGTTGACTCTGGCATGACTTGGAAGAGCATGACCGACTCCTTGTACCTCTCAAGGCCAGCTCCGAATAACATCTTCTCAGCTGCCGTAATATGATTACAATTATGAAGTAGCATCAGCTCGTGTACAGAAATTTAGCCTCTAGAGCTGCATCGAGCCTTTTCCATTTCAGGCCACCTATCACCTTGACCGCAGGAATCTGTAAAGCTCAGCGTTTGAACGTTCTGCAATATACGCCTTCTCTTTAAACGATTCACATCATTATCTCTTTGTATAACACAACTAATGTACGTACGTGTCTTGCTCTACTTTTGGATTTATAAAGTATATGACTTGGTAGATTTGTCTGACGAGGCTAAGATCTAGTAGATTTGTCTGATGAGGCTGAGAACTAGTAGATTTGTCTGATGAGGCTGAGCATCTGCAGATTCAGCCCAGCTCGTCTTCCAACGCTTCTAATCACCAACTTCACACAGCCCAAGTCCTTCCCCTTGTCTACCTCGCCGACTAGTCTTCTGGGCCGTTGAGTTCCCGCTTCTCATCTCCGATAATTTCTCACGTCGAGTTCAATCACCAAGTTCTCGTAATAATTTTGTCAAGATGTCTTTACAAATTCCCTCTCTACGAATCTTGTGTATCCTCACCCCCGCGGGCGATATAAGCCATGGGCATGAAACGACAGAAGGAATTCTTTCTGCATAACTCTGGCTTTTACTTCTTCTCTCGAGGCTATTGCAAGTAGTTGCGGGATTCTTTGGCCGTTGATTGCTGTCTTTTGTTTTTGTTTTCGTAGTCAAAGGCAAAGCAGGCTTTCTCTGTTGACGGTCCACTTCAAAGTTTCCTTCTCCAACTCCGTATTTTATCTGCTTTTCGCTGATGTTCAATATTTGCAATTATTCGATGGAAGGCTTTCAGACTCCGCATTGTCTTCACCTCGTCTTCGCATGGCGTTCCTAATTCCAATAACCTGCTACTCCATACCTAATGACTCTCGCCCACTGACGACCAATCCTCGGCACTCCGCTCTCCCAATGCAACAAAAAGCTTTCTCGTGGACGCTTCGGTATATGCCATCCTCTAAGCTAACCAATCTACAGCCCAGGTTGTATGACATTGAGAAATCGGCGTGCTGCAGTCGATACACAAATGACAGAATAAACTCCGGACTCGTCCATTCTCGCTTTCCAGAGAAGTGCAGGTGGTAGAGAAGTTCATTCACGGTAAGATCTCAGACTTCTCCGCAGGCTCTGGTGTCGTCCCTATCGCGAGCTCGCAAGCATTGAAAAAACTCTCTTCCACAAAATTAACTCTTCGTCTTCTAATAGAGTTTCACGATTTATCCAATCACATGTGCCCTTCCCCCTATCTCGTTAACCTGACCGTCTGGTTGGTGTTCTCCATTGAAACTTCCAGAGCCAAAACCGATCTACCAATACGAGCTTTCAGGGGCAAGTGATCCTTGCAGTGGAAGAAGATCCCGGCGCTGCAGTCAGCTGCGTCCGGAAAGGATTACTCTCAGGCCCTTGGCAACAGTCCTGCAAAAACACCTCGCCGTCGGGTCATCCGACCAAGCACCAATCACTTCTCGGCTAATGCCACCTTCGCAGCCGAAGGAGGGTGGGGTGGTGAGCTTCGACTCTGTATCGTTTGCTATGGAGAATTGACATTGAACTTCAATATGGATGCACTGCTATGCCTGATCCTAATGTGTGCAGAATCCTGCAATCCACCCTCCTGTCATAGTACGATTTACATCCTCGCGTGATTGATTATCACCAGTCAAAACTGACGGTTGATCGCCCGAGCTTTTTAACCAGTTTCCACTCCTCAATTTTCTGTTCTCCACTTTTCACAGCATCTGCAACAAATAATGACAGCAGTACTGCCCTCTACGACTGGCCTGTTAGGACTGTGGAATGGTACGAATGACGGCGAACATGGATACCTTGGTGAGGCAATTTCGCAGAGGGCCGCCACATAATTGCTAATTCACCATAGACTATGCGACGGGGGAGACGAACGTAAATCGTCCTAAGGAGTATGAGATTGAAGCCCATGACATTCGCAGTTTTGATCCCCAGGTATATGCTCTAACCCTTTGTCTCTACTGGCGCCTACGAATCTAGGCTGACCTACTACTAAGGTCAATTTTGATCGGTAATGGTTATTAATTCGTCGATATCCCTACTGTGGTGACCGATGAGTAATTTACGGTAGTTGATAAGACTGAAGAAGGGAAGGCATTCATCCAGGAAATTTACTTCAAGGAGTGCAAGAGAGTCATAGAGGAAATTACTGGAGGGGCTGCTTTCATTTTGCCAATATCATTCTTTATACGTGAACGGAAAGATCCAAAGCAGGTCACCAATGAGAAGATCGGCAATGTTGAGCCGACATATACTCCACGCCCTGTAGCTCACCTCGATCGTGATCCCCAACGGCCGTCCCCGTCCTGGAGGCGGCGGTGGGTCTGGAAAGGCTCAAGAGCTGCTCTCTAAATATGGCCGCTGGGCTCAGGTCAACGTGTGGCGACCAATTGGTGATTTCTATCTATTCCTTCATAGAAGCACTGATGCTCACCAAGTGAATGATAGGTAACCCAGCCACCATGTGGCCACTCGTCTTCATGAACCACGATCGTATCCCAGACTGGAGTTACGATTCCCATGTTGCCCATGTTTGGTGCAATCGTGTCGAGCAAATCAAATCGGCGCCGGCAACCTGTGCGACACCACATCTCAACCACAATCGACAGGACGCTCCATTCCCCCTGACACCTGACACTTCTCGATCATTTCCTTCATCTAAATTAATCACTTCACTCTATTGTGCCCACATATTTCCTTGAGTTGAGAAATCCATTGTTTGTGTCTAGGCTACGGAAAGACGAAAAAAGGGGGGGGAAAGAAAAAAGGGGAAAAAAGAGAAACATGCTTTGATGCCTTGGTCAACCCATACGCCCTCCGTCTATGCCTCCTAGCCCTTCCAGTAGTGGGTCGCGATAGTTCAACCGGTGAAGAATGGTGCCTTCCAAGTTCGTAGTAAAACGAGATTCGAAGGTAGTTACTGTGAGCAACATCATCTTCGGCTCAAGCGTTCATGGTCAACGTAACGTCGACCTCCGACGATTAGCAGAAACTGACGCTTCCTTCAGCCCAACCCATGCATGTTTCGATATCGCTTAGAATAACATGAATTGGAGTGGCATAAGTAACATCGTGAATAGTGTGATATCCAATTCCAAGACCTCCCCATGCCATAGCTATGGGTCGGAAATTGCTATCGATCAGAGGGGCTCCCGAATCACCGGGTCTCGTGACCTGATCGTATGGAGAGGGGCTAACAAAGCACCATTCTCGAGTTATGTTTGGAAATTCAGAAGAGGCAAGAGTAGCCTTGATCCCAGTGAACGTGCCTTGCTTCCATCCGGTTGTACGACTTGGCACTTTGAAAAAGACCTCGTCTGATTTCGGGTCGTCTCGCCGGAGTGGCTTGAACTCGGGACCTGGTCTGAAGTATCGCCAAGCCGCTGAACGGAATGCCTCTGCTTTATCCTTAGGATTGCGCTCGTCTGCATTGGTTTGGGGTCCGATGGGTCCGATGTTTCCGGAGTCAAAGTGGGCTTCGAGAGCGTTCCGGTGTGACGAGTCGAGCTCTAGGAATTCAGAATCTGAGTCGAACATAGAATGAGGAAGATGCTTTGATCTTGTTAGAATAATCTACAGTGTCTGGAAGACTTGCATAAAAGGATTGATAGACTAACCTTGTTTTTGGTTTGTAGACCCACATCTATCTCAAAGATTGCCCAATCCAAGCGGCCTGCGTATGCGGTTGATGGTGTATTTGGATCCGAAACTGCAATGATGGCTTTTCTGGGTTGGATTTCGGTCCAACTCTCGCTTTGCTTTACCATCTCCGACCAATGCTCCAAAGACATCTCCGCCGCCCGCAAAGCAGTCTCCGCCGCTCTTGAAGTCCCGGCAAAGGAGCCTTCATGCACGCCAAGCGCCTCAAGCACCTTAAGCTTCTCTAACTTCTTTGTCTCCTCTTCCTTTGCTGAGGACCACATGTCGTAGCTCTCTTTGCATCCCTTCTTGGTTGCCGTGTCGTCGTTCATAGCCGGCATCTCAACAAGATGACTTGTTTCGCCTGGCGTGTAGACATACGTCCCTTTCCGGTCAACACCTAGAACCTTGCCGCTAGGGTCGAGAACATGTGCACAGGTCAAGCCGTAAATCTCATTTTCTTCATGTTTGATATATCCCGTAAACGAGCCTGCTGCCGTCTCATCCTTCTTTCCAACTGACATCCCGGGGAAAGGCGGCGAGGTGTACATTTGAGACCAAGACCCGCTGAGATCTTGTCCTGCACGGGTTTCTGGAGGGCATCCTTCAGGGTCTTCAGAAGCTCGCAGCTTGGGGGCCTTGAAGAAGAGGAGGTCCTGCGGTGGTGGTCGGCAAAGGTCCACGTAGACTCTGTTGAACGAAAAGTGACTCGTTAGCTTTCATACTCTTGAATTCCTACACCTGCGGTGATGACTTTGATACGTACGGCTCGCCCACCTGCCATGAAGTTGCGATGGTAGCACTGATTTGATTGACAATCGCCAGCGCCAGCTCGTTAGCAACATCCCCTACGGCGAGCAAGTGTACCACGATAGGATTGGCCGTCGCGCTGAACTGGAAGCCCCATCTGAGTACATGTAGACGCCACAGGCACGCGCTTAGGAGGTGAGTTTGTACGATTTCGACAATCTTCTCATGAATTTCCGCTTCGTATTGTCGTGCGAACTCGACATGGTAAACGGGAAATGCCCTCTTTCTGGTTCGGAATGTAGAGCTGGGATGCTTCGTACAGTCGAATTGACATTCGGGATTATTCGAGGCAAGAATCAGCATATCAGGACGACCGTAGTCCCCTGTAGAAATCAGACGAGCGGGGGGGTATCCCTGAACTTGTGCCATGGCTGAGGAATCGTGGTGCTGGGAAAGGAACGAGGGGAAGTTTAAGTCTCGTGCGTTGCGAGTCAACGTCTGTGTGGACGCCATTGTTGCGGCTAATCCAAATGAGGCAACGCGTTGTTCTTTTGAGGGGTTGTATTTTTTCGGTGTGGAGTTATATTTTTCCGTCGTCAGCCTCGAAGTCTGCAAAACTAAGGAAGTCCGTGCTTAAACTTCGCTTAATGCGGCTCGGTAAAATTAACATTTTCACGTGATTTTCATCGTTTACGTAGCCCGCATCGTATATTTAAAAATTATGATCTGGTAAATGCATTTCGTACCATTCCTAATTCATACTATCGTCCTCAAAGATCATCAACCTTTCTTCACACACTGCGACTTTCAACGAAAAAACATCCTAGTCAGAGACGTTGGAGATGGATATTCGCTGATAATAATCGACTGGGAGGCCTCAGGTTGGTATCCTAGCTACTGGGAGTTTGCCAATGCGTTGTTTGCGTGCGGGCGATGGGAGGATGATTGGTCTTTCTGGGTTTTACAAATTCTAGATCCTTTCTTCAATGAGTACTCATGGATGCAAAGATTACGCACAGAGTTGTGGTCTTAAACTGCATAGTAGTCGGAATTTGAGCATGTACCTAAGTTTAAGGCTGAAGACCAGAATCCCTTGTGATTCATTCATTGAAATTATCATAATAGCTACGGTCATGCAACCCATTCGCAGCTAAGCAAACCAACAAAATCCCCGCAAGAAGCATCATCGTAGGATGTTCCTTTGTTGGGATGAATGTTCCTCAACTTTCTTGCACCTGCTTCAAGATCCCTGGCCGCTTAAAATCCACCAACACCACATTTTGAATCTCGGGATTCGAAAGCACGTTTGGAGGCCGTAGATCACGATGCTCCACTCCGAAACTCAACATCTTTGTAACTGCCCCGCTCGTTTCCGCAGCCAAATCCTGATCAAATCATACTCATGCTTCCATATGCCTTCAAGAACTACGATACTCGTCTGTCTCAATCTCGATCCCTAGAGGCGATCAAAGCCGCGATGCCACGCTTTGTCTCAGAAGAAGATATAACTGGCCCTTTCAAGTTGCTTAATCGAGACTTTCGCCTTGGCAATATTCTTGTCGACAAGAATTGGAAAATCACTGCTGTGCTGGATTGGGTATTCTCAAATGTGGGCCCTAGTCAACTTGCTGAGCTGTTCGCATGGGACGATCAGGAGGATATGGTGAAGCACAAACTTGAGAGAGAATTCAAGAATAAATTCGATGCATTTATATTGTTGGTGAGAGAAGAGGAGGATCGAAGAGGAATGGATGATTCATTTTCTCGCCGGATGTCCCAGTACTTAGAGGACGGAACGTTGTGGTTCAACTTGCCGATCGAAGAGTATATGATTTGGGAGCATCTACTAGAGCGTGTCTGTTAGAACATAGATATATCGGTGAACTTTTAGGTGGATTGACTTTTATTTCTCTGGACAGCTTCCTCTGTCCAACTCCTTCGCTAAGTCCAGGTCGATCAATCTTCCCTTTGGATTTCCTTCAGCAGAGGCACCAAGATTCAACCGCAGATGTATTTATAGTCGAGAATTCTGGGTACCCGTCTCTAACAAATGCCTCACCATTGTTGTATCTCCATCTGCAGCAGAGAACGCTGTTAAATGATGTCGTGGTACTCTCGTGATAGGCTCGGCGCAATGCTGGCGTCAAAAATGATCATTGAAGCTGGAACTCGACGTCGACACGCAGTTGATTAAATACTTTGCCTCCTGGTTAGTCAATTGTCCAACAGAGGATTATGGCCGCAGACAGGGCATGTACATACATGATCAGGCGCACCAGAACCTGACCTCTCTTTGCCATACGACTGGTGGTCTTGAGGATGGGTGCTTGTCGAGGCAGCTTTCTTCACTCCCTTCCGGCTCGAAAACGTCGCGACCGTCGTAGCAGGCGCAGAGTATCGGATCGCATTCGAGCCCCACCACTTCGCAAAGTCCCGCATGCCAAACTTCTTCCTGCAAATGAATAACCTCATCAACCTCTCGAATTGCAAGCAAGAGGTCAGACACCATCCAAGGTTGTTTTTAAGCGACAACGATGACTTAGTTGTTCTGCCCAACCAGCTCCGCCAATAGACTTCATCTCACCCTACACTGAGGGGCAACCGTTTTGCCCTGTTTTCCGCCGTACATCAGCATTCCCTCAGCGAAATATTCTATCAGATTCATTTCTCCTTTACGCCGCGACCGTTACCCTATCTCATTGCACACGTCGCATTTGGCATAAAGGCACAGGAGAGTGCCTCTGACTCTGAAGACTCGACTCCACATTCTGCCTTTCCGCAAATAGGCGTATAATTTTAGATACTAATGCTTTGTCTTGCAGTCTAAGCGATGGGAAAGCGATGGAAAAAAGCCAATGGCGTCTATTTGTCTTTAAACCACCAGAATATCCGCTTACAGAGCTGATATATAGGTAGCCTGTCTTTTGGACAAAGACTTGCTTCTTATTTGGTTTGAAGCACTATGCAAATACCCCGCCATTAATTATATCTGACTATAATAGCGACTTTAGTCGAGCAAGGGTCGAAGGCTCTGGTGATACAAGTATCAATTTGACGTTCGTTGGAATATATTCTGCAATCCGGGAAAGCCATATGCCTGTGGGCATGCTTGAAATTCTATCTTCCCGACCTATAATCACTCGAAAGGTGATTAATCCTTCCCATATTTTCGACAAGCGCAAGTAAAATATTGCTTCTTCTGCTAGCAAAAGAACTTGTGGATCTTTATCTTGCTTTTTAAATTTGACGCTACTAATAGGGAGTTTAGGCTTAGGTTTCTAGTAGTTTAAAAGGAGTTTCGGCGAGTTTATTATACGACTTCGAATTTTATTATCAATATAATAACAAGCTAAAAAGTCGAGAAATCGTTTACGATTACGAAAACTATTTTGAGTATATAGCGGATGCTTTCCTAACTATTAGTATAACTTGAGAGGAAAATAAGTAGAAGACGTTAATACATACTTTTAGCTTATTTTCTGCTCCGCTGAACGTTCCCGCTACAGAGGATTTCTAGCCCCTGCGCACCCTCCTCGCGGATCTGATAATATGGCACACAGCACGCCTAGCCAGCCTAGGCATATTCGAAGCCATTAATAATAGAACTTAGCAAAACGTGAAAATTCCCGGTCAAAGTATAAAAGTTGTGAGGTGCGTAGTGCTTAGTACTTGATTAATAGTCTCATAATGCAAAGAGACATTGTACTGAGTGTCTAAGAAGGCTTTATAATATTTTTCTAGGAGTGCGGCTTTCGATGTTGATGCAATCCTTTGTTTTAGTGAGCAGACTATGAGGCGTGAGTTAGGGCAGCCCCGCTAATGGTGGGTGTGGTCAGAACGAACTAAATTAGAATTTAGGTTTCGCTTTAAGACCGTTCCCAGGGACTGGTTGGGTAGGAGCTGAATTGAGAGGCAAAAGCTTGCATTTCAAGCACAACTCTACGGACACCAGTAACAGACCATTGAAGGCACAATTTTGCAGATTCTATTATTATATTGCTATTTTCGCAGCTGTAAGGCAAAAACCCCACAGCCATCAATAACGGACTTGTTACATCAAAGGGGCTGTAATGAAGCATTGCTCAATACTTTCTTAGCCTAGGTCGTGCTATGAAACTTGCTTCTAAAAGCCACAGTTTACTTATGACCAGCGCCAGTAACAACTACTATCTGCATTGAGACACTTAGCATTAAGATAACCATTTGACGTCCCAGTTTAAGCTTCTGCAGTGCCAGCTTCAGCTTCTCCAGTACATGGTATTTTCTATGCAGCAACAAACTCTGCTGCTGACGCACCAATTCCAAGCGTCGAAGCATATCCAATAGCTCCTCCAACCTTGACATCTGTGCCTGCCGGCATACCCTCGATAGAGACGCTAGCTGCGGCAGAGATTGGTATATCGTTAATACTCGCTGGCCTAGATTCAAGATCGGTAGGATTCGAAGCACTGTCTATATTGAGAAATGTATGTTGTTCCGGAAATTTCGCACTAAGTAGCAAAAAGAGGTAAGATTGACATGCGCCATCGTCGACAGGGTTAAGTGGCTGAAAACTACCGAACCAGACTTGGGTGGACAAAGGTGATGGCGCTGCAAAGCAAAACCGACAATTCCATCGATAAAAGGGCAATCGAACGCTGGGTGTCATCACAAAGCCGGATACTCTGATCCCTGGTTCCGAAAGTGAAGCCATGTATGTCTCCCTTGCGAGGAACCAAGACGTCGAGTTTCGTCTTGGATGGCATGTTTTGAAAAACATGGACTCCGAAACGGGAGTATGGTCGTTGGCTGATCGCGACATCAAGGAGGAAGAATTCTTCGCTCAAGGGATATGGGAGAATCTGTCCCGCTCGCTCCTGGGCGTTGACAAGTTACGAAAAGACTTAGCAAGGTCCTTCTCGGACCAGGCTGGTAAAGCAGTCAGCTAGCTGATCAGTCGACTGATAAGTGATCAGTTAAAGCCAATCAGTTAGCGATTTTAAATGATTTCAGTCTATCAGTTAGCCAAAAGTTTAACTGACAGTTGCTTATAAGTTGGGAGATATTTG